TCCTCTCCCCAGTGCAGACTCTGGGGCTGGCTGTCCCTGTGGGTCGAGTTCCACCCGAGAATCCAGCAGCGTGGGCTGGCAGCCAAGGGGCGGTGCTGGCACCGAGACCCTGTTCCATGGGAGGCTTCTTCCCAGGAGCCGGAGAGCAGCGTGCGTGGCTTGAAATAAGAACAACCTCATTCCTCATGTCAGTTCCCAGGAGTGCCCAGAATGGAGGCGGCTGGCTGCGGGCTGGGAGGAAGGCCGTCTGACTGAGCCTTCGCAGCTCTCCGAAGCCTCCCCAGCAGGGCCTGATGGTGCTGTGGCTTCTCCGCCTTGGTGGCTGATGCTCCCACTCACCATGTGGAAACCACACCTGTGTTCAGGAGGCTGGCGTGGACGGGGTTGGCTCCATGGCCAGCTCCTGCCTGGGTGGGCGCCTGGTATGCTGGCCGCTGCCTCCTTCTGTGTGAGCACCTGGCAGGCCAGAGGGTAGGAATGTCCTGCTGAGGGGACACCTGGCCCCCAGTGCCCTGCATGTACCAAGCAGTGGAGGTCTGGGGTAGACCTGCTATGCACAGGGTCTGGAAGGGGGGTGTGTCAGGGGTCAGAGGGTGACTGAGAGGCCAGAGAGCCATGGGGTTGAGGGCAGTGAGGTCAGGGGGCAGGTGTGGCCTGGGTGGTGGCTGAGCATGGCCCATGACTCCTGTGTGGGGTCTGGGTGGCCCTGGACACCCCCCAGAGGGTGACCCTAGGCCCCCTGCCCGATCATGTTCCTGTAGTCGGGGATGATGGTCTGCTTCAGGTCCACCACCGAGGAGAAGATCCACTTCACCTGTAGGCAAGGCACAGCACAGGGGTGAGTGAGGCCACGGCCTTGCCCCCGGGGCCCAGCCATCCCTCAGGCTACCCAGGCCACAGCCCTGCCCCCGAGGCCCATCCGCCCTTCAGGGCACCCAGTTGCCAGAGCCACACCACTGCCTACTCTGAGGGTTGGACATGGAGAGCAGAGCCAGGGCAGCGACATCATGTGGACAATACAGAAGACAGTGTCAGGGACAGCGTGGGGACAGCGTCAGGGACAGGTAGAGACAGCATGGGGGACAGTGCCAGAGACAGGTGGAGATTACACTGGGGACAGCGTCAGGGACAGGTGGAGACACCATGGGGGACAGTGTCGGGAACAGGTGGGGACAGCATGGGGGACAGTGTCAGGGACAGGTGGAGACACCATGGG